TGTGAAAAAATAGATTATATGTTTTGTCTTGATATTTTACATTGATCTGTGTAAATTTATTTGTGACTAACATATTGCTGTGTGACTTCATGTTTGCATGCAGTATTGTCAGACAGAATGGGAAGCATTGGAGAATGGTGAATTATCAAATTTGCGTGCTGCGTATAATCATCAGTTGCAAGAACAGATTGAGCTAGCTAGACAGGATATTGTCAACGGTCTGCTAGAACAATTTGAGGTAGATCTAAGTAATCTGAGATTCTGCTTATTAAGAATTCAATATAAATACAAATGAAATAACAATAGTGATGTAGTAATAATATTTACAGGATGACAAAAATTTCTGATTTTATTGGCCGTTTTTGTTCTTATAAAGATTTTGGTCAAATATTTTCTTTTTGTTTTTATTTAATTTCATTTTTTAGTCTTAAAAGCTTATTGCAAGCTATTAGGGAATATTTATTAAAACGTTATTATGTTTGCATAGACTTTATTATCGGTGGAAGAAGACAAGGAAGATGATTGGCCACCAGAATTATTGGAATTGCGAGATAAATTTACTCGTAATGCCAAACATGAAATTCAGGAATTGAAGAAAACACATAGCATGGAATTGTCACGACTGAAAAATGAGCACGATTCCGTCATAGCGAGAATGCTGGAACGTCAAAAAGAAATTAATCTTCTTAAGACGCAGAATGCTGATAAAATACAAGAAACTATTTATGTCGGATCTTCAGAAAACAGCATTACAGAAGAAAGGTGATTAATGGTTTTTACTAAATTATCTATAAGTAAGATTTATACTACAATTCTAGACAAAATCACAAAACTCGTAAGAACTTATCAGTAAATCTGCAATCTACTTCTATGCGGACCATATATCATATAATAACTCGTAAATATCTATGATTTTTTTTGTAAGCTACGATTTTACGACTCGTATATTTGCTTAGAATTTCAGCATTAATTATCTAAAATATTTAATGTAGGTAACTTTTTAAATAAATATCTTATTTCTTAATAATATATTAATATTTGATTTTTTATCAGGGATAACTTACGGAAAACATGTGCAACTCTTCAAAATTTAATTGGAGAATTAATCAAATACTTTGTCGTTTGTGAAGAGGAAGTTAACAATACTCTTATTAGCGAGGTTCTGAAAAAACAATTACCAGACTCTGTCTTTACTGGTGAAGAAAACTTGAGCAAAGATAATAACATTCCTGTATCCGAAGCACGATGCAAGGATATATCCAATCAATCGATTAAAAGAGTCCATTTCGCTCCACAGTTCAGCAAAATAACTTCTATTGTTAACAGCGATAACAAGACACTACAAGGTTTGATCGACGAAGATATAGATGAGAAATTAAAAAAAGAGTTGAAGACTTGTTTGCGTCGTTTAAAATCTGACAGTACAGAAATTCTTAATTTTTCACTACTATGTGACAAAGACAAAATCGCATCACTGCCAAAGGAAACCGACTTGACAAATAAAATTAACGAAGAGCTATCTTTGAAATTAGACCACGCTGAAGACTTGATAATGGGTTATCAAGAAGAAACAGAACAGCTAAAAGTACATATCTTAGAATTACAACGAAAATTGATTAGCGCAGAAAGCAAAAAGGAAGTCATTACAGAAGGATATGGTGAAAGTGATCTTTCTCGAGGCGATATTGTAACACAAGATTTTTCACAGCTGCAAGAAAAAGGTAAGCTTTTTGCTAGTTCTACATAATATTTACATTATACAGTATAGTTTTCAATATATACCATATTTTTATACGATTCACAGCTAGACATGTATTATCGAACGGCGGCGGTGACTCGTCTTATTTATTGCAATTAATAGAAGAACTGTGCCGGCAGAACGATAAATTGATGGATGACGCTAGAAAGGAGAAAGAAGACTTGCAACAACAGGTAAAATTGTTTATTAATTTTGCTAGAAAAATGCACTGTTGCATGATTTCTGATTACTCGATATTGGTATGCCAACACAATAATGAATATTGAGATATATTGTATGTTGAAAAAACGGTTTGTCTGGGTAGTTTATCAGATCTATATATTTCTGTATCTCTATGAGCTTCACGTTCATATTATTTTTTTATATCGTACATGTTCTCTATCGACAATGCAGCGACAGGATTAACACCAATATTTTTATTTATGTAACACATGAATGTTTCTTATATGATGTATTTGTGAAGAAGTTTGTTATTTTTTTACATTATTTTAATGTTTTTTTTTATATTTTAAATGCAAGTAGCACCACAGGATTATAAGAAGTCATGCTTTATTACGCACTATTATTATATATTATTATTACATGCAGAGTGTCTTAAGAAAGCTGAATAGTTTAATTATTTGGTCCAGGAATCTATAGATGTTATGTTGTCTTATGGCGTTGTAGATCTTTAAACCTCTACATCCTTAGAATTTAAAATCTTTAAACTTTTGTTTTTTTACATTATCCTCTCTTGCATTCTGTGATCCTCAGAAACTTAAGGAACCCTTAATATATAAATGGATTTTTTAATCTTAATATAATTTACTTTAAAACTAATTTCTTTTTTATGTATCTGATATTCATTTTTCTTCTTACACCCTGTATAAAATAATGTCCAATCTTTCATAATAATTTTTAAAATCAGGTATACAAAATTAGTAGTTAGAAGTAGAAAATCAGTAAAGTAGTAAAATATTGTGCATACATGGCACATGTGGCAATGAAAACATGTTAATATAGATATTGTTTAATAATAATAAATAATATAAAAACAGTCGAAACTAATAAATAAATGTGAGAAAGATATTGTCCAAATCAAAAGTGCAGAGCTTTGCGATGCAGGTTTTAAGAGATTGATTGGCGTTCTGTTATCTTGCCAGCAGGTGCCTTTAGAACCTACTCCTACCCCATACATTCACAGGGTTTGCTGCAAAAAGGTAAATTATAGAATTACTAATATTATCGTAAACGCTGTACGTAAGTTACCTCCAAATCGGCTGTAATAAATTAATATAGATGGCATTTTCTCTCTCCATGACCTGATTAAGAAGTGCAAGTGAGCTTTCATAGAAATATCGTCTCTTTGATTTCTAATGCGTCAAGAATGTTAATTACGTGTGCATTTATCATAATGTTGCTGTGAATGGTATATGTAATTATTATTAATTATCATGTCCATTAATGATTTATTGCATGATGTTGCTCTAAAGATGTTTGAGATGTTGCAAAATCTAATAGTTGCTTTGCATGCTATGTTGCAAATATGTCTTATCAGAATATACAAAATGCATATATATCTTTTTTATTATATTTTTAAAGAATTTAATCTTCCGATTTTATAAATTTTCTTAGCTTTCTCTAATTAACTCAAAAAACCTTTAGCGGAAACACTAAATATGATATGATTGAAATTTATCATATTATTTATAAAATTCATGTATTGTTTTTCTAACAGAGACTGTACATGAACACATAATTTATCCTTGTAATGCAAAATGAATAGCTTAAACAATGTGATAAATTTAGAAAGAATCCTGATCCGTTTTGGCAGTTCGTTACTTTTGTTATATGCATAGTTAGTATGACGCAATAATTACTTCTAACTGAAGTTCCATTTGTTTAGATTGAAGCAGCGGATAAGCAGTTGCGAGCAACGCGTCGATTTCTGGATGAGCAAGCGAGTGAACGCGAGATGGAGCGAGACGAAGCCGCGAAGCAAATTCGCGTTCTGCAGGAACAACTGAAGGAGCGCGAACGCGAGAAGGAGAGAGATATGCGTATCAGTTCTGAGGTAAAACTTTCATTGGAAATTGTTTTATTTTTAATGTGAAGAATTCCTTGTTATACATGAACATGATGCTTTTTGTAATCACCCGCTAGTTAGCTTCAGGGTATATTGTTTCTTAATTAATCCTTAATTAGTGCCGCATTAATAATATCTAAAAATTTAGATCTATAAATTGAACCCAAAATTATAACACTTTGAAGATTGCTACATGGACTTTAAGAAATTCTATAATTCTCGTAATAATTTGATTATAAGCTAAATAAGGATTAATTATAATTCAAATTATTTAATTCACTTCTGCAGTTACTGCACTAACCAGGAAATTCCATCTGATATAATAACTGCCATTTTTAAACCTTAACTATAGATTTTGGTGGTTTATTTTTAATTTAACACTTAACATAGAATTAAAACTGCTGAAAATAGATATGTACTACTTGCCCGTAAAATCAAGTATAAAAATTTAGAAAACTTTATTTTGGGTTACAATATAATCTCAATTACATACAGTTTTTCAGTTATAACAGAATATTGGCAGTTTTATACTTTTATTATGTTTTATACTTTTTTCGTTATATATAAAACTTACAGTTTGTCGAACATGCACTTCGACCAGTAGCCTCTCAGTTTTCAATCGGTTTCCTTGAAAAAACAGCAAGATGTAATTTAAATTTAATTAAAATGAAAAGACAATATATATTTACTCTGAGAATTCTTGCCGGCAATTAGTGTCACGCATCACTACTAATTGTATTAACACAAATTTTTCTGCACTCTGGTTTGGGTTTTATGTTTGTCGCACAAAGCAGTCTGAGCTATCATCTGAAACTTCAGACGCCACTGAGCTTCAAACGATTGACGTCAATGCAACAGTGAGTGATATTGTATTTAATTTGTTCTTTCTTGTAGTTCTCTCGATTTACATACAGTGGATAAGAAAAGTACCCATAAGTCGTTTTAAAAATCAGAATATTTGACAAATTATTTGGCAACTGCATAATCGGCAAAAAATAAACATACATCTGCGTTCAGACTACTTACATTGACAGAATTATACAGATATTTAAAAACGAATTCGAGGCTTTAGCGGCGTATGGTACTCGTTAAGACTAAAATATATATAATGAAGTATAGAATATACCTGTTGCGAACTTGCTAAGGCTCTGAAACGTGGGGATTTTATTTAATAACTCATTCATATTTTAATTTATATTTTAATTCATATTTTAATTTTGCTGAGTAAGTGCTAAGTATTTGTTTAGTTATGTAGTCTTCTTTTTTTGCCCACTGTATATGTTGCCGCATAATTATCATAAACAGATATTTACTGTCTCTGCGCTTCACGTGTTGGGTTACGCTTGATTGGAGTTGTAGGTGATGTGTCCTGAAAAGACAATGCGTTGATAACTTGCACATCTATATATGTGATTTATGATTTAGGTGGAGGCTCTCGAATCTCAGATGAGAGAGATGTCGTCATTGATGTCAGACACGGAAGCCAAGAAATCGGAAAAAGAAAGTGAATTGAAGGCTGCAATAGACAAAATATGGGTCTTACGAGAAATCATTACCGATTTGGAACAGCAACTACAAGTTAAGATTGAAAGAGAAGAATCCTTGCAAGTGCAAATCGGTCAGCTGGAAACCGTAATAACAGCGCAAACAAAGAACCAACAAGAGCTAGTTCAGGAGTTGGATGCTATCAAATCTGGCAGCGAAAGCAGGCAACTGAATGAACAAATCAGTCATTTAGAGGTAAAAATACTTGGATAGATATATGTGTGTGAGCGGAAAGATATTTGTGGAATGATTACAAAATGGTTTCTTTGTGTTTTAGGAGGAATTACACAAACATAAATTAAGCTCAGAACATTTTAACGTTAATTCGTCCGTCCTGAAGCAGATAAAAGCGGAACTTCACGAGATGCAAAATCAATTAGACAAGAGAATTCGAGAATTAGAATCGGCGCACATGTGCGGTTCAAATTTAAGTCTAAGCCAACCAAGCGAAGACGTTTCTATCAGGGAACAAATTGATGCAGCTAGATGTTTAACTCCAGACGACCCGACTTCACCACCGATGTTACCTTTAGATCAAGTGCTCAAATTAAAAGATAAGATGTTGAAACATGCGCGAGCAGAGGATGTGGCCTTCAAGAGAATCAAAGATCTGGAAATGCAATTGACAACGATAAAAAATCAAAATGAGGTTCGTTCTCTTCATGTAATATTTAAAACTAGAGGAGAGGAAAGATAAAAAGAAAGAGAAATAGATAGAAGAAAACGGATCATGATAGAAGAAGATGGAACATTTAAAAATAGACTTTATAAATATATTCTAAAAAGATTTGTATAAAACTAACAATTATAAAAAGTTGTAAAGAAAACAGTCGTTATATATTTACGATTATATTTTCGACTTTTTTATCTTCGTCTCGTTGATCTTATTTAATTTATCGTAGGAATTAATAGCGGAACAGGAAATCTTGCATCAGACAGCATCCGAACAATTGTTCCAAATCGAAAAGATGCGCGGTCGCTTGGAGCAACACAAACAAAGTGCTCCATTTGTCCAAAAACAAGCAACGTCACGTTTAGAATTACAGTTACATGAAGCCACCACGAAGTATCACTCTTTGGAGCAGATTATTACCGATAGAGAATTAGAGGTAAATTTTATCTCACTTGTAATTTAATGAGCAATAACTTAATAATCAACCCTTTACCATTCCATTATTAGCTTAATTTAATTGTCAATTTATTAATTTACTATTTCCAGGCGAAAGAGTTGAGAATTCAGCTCGACAGGGCTAATCAGTTATTGGCAGAAAAAGAAATAGAGATGGAAAACTTTGTGCAATCGGAACATGGTGCGCTGCAGAAACTAAAAGATCAACTGAAACTCGTTCAGGAGGAGAAGAAGATGTTGCAGGTACGCACATTTTCTTTCTTCAAAATAATTGTGTACACAAAATATCAGATTAAAGTACTGATCGACCGATTACAGATACAGCTTGGTACGCAGCAAGAACATGTCCAATTGCCGTCACTGATAGATACCGTATTAGCTGACAAAAACGAGGAAATAGATCATCTGAAGGAACAATTGTCTAAAAAAGACAAACAATTAGAGGCATATTCGTCACTCGCATTGAACGATGTACAGTTGAGGGACTTGACGAAACAAGTGGAACCTAAGAACAGTGCGCGTACATTGAGCGATATCATCTCGATTCATTCAGAATGCGAAGAATTCTCTGAAGCTATTCGGGAACCAAACATAACTCATGTATCACACAATATGTCCAGTTTCAAAGGGCCCACGTTATCGAAGAACACGTTAAAGTAAAGTATCAAAAAATTTAATATAATTTAAAATAATACGCACACAATTAATTTTAGTTCATTTATTTTATCTTATTCGTCGAAATTGAAATTGAATTTTCGTTGGAATCTCTAATCAAATAGATTAGATTTTCATAAATAATAGTGCAATGTACGCTCGAAAAATAAAAATAATTAAAATATATTACTATGTTACAGTCCTAACAGCGCAAACAGTTTGAATGCTTTGGAAACACCTTTACTCGATAAAATGGACACTCAAGTTCCACCATTGGATTTGGATCTTCATAGTCCACATACACAAAGTCCCAGCAACTTTCTTCGCAATTCAGAGCTAGAATTGCACCACATCGAAGATGAATCAAAATTATCGTCCCCCAAAAACAATGACAACAGCGAAGGTATACTATTTATTGTGTGTATATGAGTTTATAAATTATCAGATAATCGTGGTGGGTTTAACATATTTTTTTTCAACAGTTTGAGAGATTTTAATTTTGTAAATGAAAGATAATTTATACAATATGTACGATGTATTGTTGAAGTATCAAGTAGCGATAAATAACTATTGTTTCAGATTCTCATCAAGCCGAATTACTCGATGAAAAGTTGAGAGAGATCGAAAACTTGTCGAGTCAATTGCAAGCTATGCAACGGCTGTTAGAAGAAAAGTCCGATCGTTTAGTCCAGTATGAAGCAGACTTGACTAACTTGAACAAACAACATGAAAATTTACACGACGAGTACAAGGAATTGGTCGAGAATTTGGTGCGAGATAAGAATTTCTATAAAGGTCAATACGAGCTAACCCAAGCATCAGAGAATAAGATCAAGAAAGATTTAGAAGAAGTGGAGAATATTTTGAAGCTGAAAGTAGAGGAGTTCGAAGATCATAAGGATAGAATGCAAGTTAACGAGAGAATTCTCACGGAATTGAACGCAGAAAATATACAGTTGAAGAAAGAAATAGAAATTAGGGAGAAGGATCAGTCGAAGAAGAACAACTTATTACTACAAGAGAAGACGCAGGAACTGCAAAGGTTCAAAGAACTCCTTCTGGAGAAGGATATAACTTTGGAGACTCTTCAGACGCGCAATATCGAAATTGAAAACGAGAATAAGCAACTGTATGACTTCAAGACGAAGGTTCATGTGTACGAGCAAGAAATAGCAAAATTCGAGGATGAAGTTCTACGATTGACGGATGGTCTGTACAATAGGGACCAAGTGATTCGCAAGCTGGAAGAGATGGCAAGACGAACGAGCGATAGTCACTCGAGTGCGTCGTCGTCATTATCTCACAGTAACAAAGACCAAGAGATTCATCACTTGCAGGAGTTCTTAAAAGAGAAGGACAAGGTGATCAGGCAGATGAGCGACGATAGCAAAAGCCTGCACCGAGCGTTGGAGACGATTCAGACTAAGATGAAGGAATCGGGTAATGTCGTAGAGCTAAGAAAGAAGCTAAAGGACGAACGCAGATTGAACGCAGAGCTGAAGGATGTGGTGCAGCGACTGCAGAAAGAATTGGAGGACCTGAGGGATGCGTTTGTGCAACGTTCGCAGGACGACAGTGATATCGAAGATATGGTCCAGCGAGAATTGAATCTCTCTGCGCGATTGGACAAGCAACTTATGCAGGTTATCAAAGACGATGTTGAAGAAGCGGGAGGACCATCGGAAGAACATAAGTCGAATCAAATATATAAGGACAACGAAGCACTGAGGAGATTGAAGGACGAATTAGAAGTCGAACGAGACATAATGAAACATCAAATTGTTGAGTATGAGGATCGTATTCTAGAATTGAAGGCAAATCTAGCGGAGGAGACGAAGAAAGTGGCCAAGCTGAACAAAGACTTGACAATAGAGAAGAATACGGTGCAGTTTCTGAGGATGCAAATCGATGAGCACCGCCGAGTGACGGAAGCGGGACGTGTTCAGGACACTGAATTGATCGAGTTTCTGCAAACCAAACTGAAAGCCTCTCTAGAAAATGAGGAGAAACTTTGCAATGATTTAACGTTGATGAATCAGCAGCATATTAATCTGGATTCACAATTGACATCTATGAGGAAGTTGATAGAAGTGGGAAATGTCAACAAAACTTCGCCGAAATTCGCCGCGACTGTCCAAAATGAACTACAAAGGTACACGTCAACTTTTATTTTATTTCATTTTTTATCACTACTTACGTTATGTTTATATTTGTTGACAATCTTTTGTTCATGTTACTTTGGTTTTTGTCTTAACTTTTTTTTGTTTTATACTCAAGTGCAAGCGCAGAAGAGAAGAGTCGCGACAATAATATGGAGCTGCGAGAAAATATAAAGAGATTGGAAATTGAGATGAGTCGATACGAGAAGCGGCTAGAGATCGCGACGGAAGAGCGGGAAAGATTGATCAGCAGCTTGGCGTTGGCTAACGGAATCAAAGAAATCCTGGAGGCGGACCTGCGAAGAACTACAGAGGAATTAAAGACTCGAGAAAAACAATGCGACTATATGCAGAAGCAGATACAGATGTTGACCGAGGTCGAAAATAAAAAACAGGAACAACGTGGCGTCGAGATAAGCGAGATCAAAGGACTTCGCAGAGAAGTCAATATCGCTCGAGAGACTATGGTAGATTTGGAGACTGATATCAAGCTCGCTAAGCAGGAGCTGAGGGAAACATCGGAGCGGGAGCTGAAGCTCGCGCATATAGTGGAGTCCTTGAAGGAGCGAGAAGCAGAGCTCAATACTAAACTAGCGCTCTCAAAGGAGAGGGAGAGAAAACTGATGGAATTGATCGAAGATCAGCAGACAAAATTGAGTCTCAACAAAGAGGAGGATATCAGAGATCTGAGGAGCAAGCTGTCGGACGCGAAGGACATTCCCGCGAGCTTTGCGCGGCAAATTAAAGAGCTGAGAGAGAAAGCTGAGAAGTACGCTACCGAGAGGAATAATTTCCAAGATAAACTCGATAAAATGAGAGAAGACAAGGAATCGTTGATGCAGCGTACAAAAATGCTTGAAGGACAGATAAAGAAATTGAAGAATCAGCCGGCTTTGAATCAGCAATCGGTTTCTATCGAAAGGGTATAGAGCATTCTTTTGTGATTGTAATACAGAGTAGATAGCAACAATATGAATATTAATAAATATTAATTTTCCTTTCAGTTGCAAAATTTCTACGGTAAGTATCTACGAGTGGAGAGCAGGCGAAAGGCATTGGCCTTTCAGAAGAAGTACTTGCTGTGTATAATTGGTAGTTACCAGTATTGTGCAGAGAACACGTTATACGTTCTCGCACAATTGACTCAAGATCAACGCTCGTACACGCGACTGCCGCACGGAAAGGTGCGCCTTAAGATCATTATATTAGTGGTAATTAGTACACTTAGGATGAAGTGGCTGATCCAACGGCGGCGAACAGGGAAACGCGTGGGTGCTAACGCTCTCATGGGTTGTATCGACCAATTAATCGATTTACCGCCTACCATAAAGTCGGTGTCTAATCATTCTCCACCCGTCAGGGAAAGAACGACGGCGAAGTAAGTAAAATGTTTACTAAATGAAGTAAATTTTCATGCAAACACTATAATATATGAATGTTAATAATGTTTCTTGTGTGTATATATATATATATATATATATATATATATATATAT